TAGCGGCCAAGGCGCATGTCAACCGTCAGGGAGGCACACGGTCCAGGTCCCTGATGATGGAGGCGAGAAGGATGTTCACCTGGGTGGAACCCAACTTGGGATCACTCAGAGCAGAACACATATCGGGGGTCGACAACCGACAGGCGGACTTTTTGAGTCGTGCCACGGTGGACCCTTCGGAGTGGGGGCTACACCCGAATCTGTTCTCATCCATCACCCACAGGTTCGGCCAACCAGTCCTCGATCTATTCGCCTCGCAGGACAATGCCCAGCTTCCCAGATATTACTCCCGCTACTTCCACCCCGGGGCAGAAGGGACGGATGCCCTACGAGTTCCATGGCCACGGGGCCTCCTTTACGCATTTCCCCCACTGCCTCTTATTCCAGCGGCAATCCGCAAACTCATATACGAGCGGGCGGAGGTGCTCTTCGTGGCTCCGTATTGGCCACAGAGGCCGTGGTTTGCCGACTTGGTGAATCTGGCTCAATCGCCCCCGTGGAAGATTCCTCATCACGTAGTGTCGCTACATCAGGGAAGCATCAGCCATCCAGACCCGCAATGGCTGCAACTAGCCGTCTGGCGCTTGAGCGCCAAATAATGACATGTGAATCATTTTCCTCACGAGCGATTACCATTATCCAGGCGGCTCGCCGCCCGTCAACCAACCGCATCTACGACGCCACTTGGAAGAATTTTTGCCTCTGGTGTCGTCAGAAAAAATTGGACATTAATGCACTGACAATTCCCCAAATAGTCGATTATCTCCTGGATGGACTGGATAGGGGCCTTGCACCTGCAACTATCCGAAGGCAGGTGGCGGCCTTATCCACTCTTATCTCTTGCGCAGATTCTATTCCCTTGGCTCACCATCCAAGAATCCGAGCCTTTATCAAGGGAGCTTGTAACACCAGTCCTCCTGTGGTTCACAGGTATCCATCCTGGGAGTTACCGAGAGTCCTTCGCGCTCTCATGCAGTGTCCCTTTGAACCACTGGCGACCGTTTCCTTAGAACACTTGTCACTCAAGGTGGCATTTTTGGTGGCCATCACTTCGGGCAGGCGTATATCGGAGCTGGCCGCACTGTCGGTCAGGCCGGACTTATGTATCTTTCACAAAGACAGGGTTGTTTTACGACTCGATCCATCTTTCATCCCGAAAGTTAATACTCTCTTTCACAGGTCGCAGGAGGTGATTCTGCCAAATTTTAGCCCGAATCCGTCACATGACTTGGAGCGGCAGTGGTATACACTGGACGTCCGCAGGGCTTTACGGCGTTATATCAAGCGCACGGAGCCGTTCCGTAAATCCGAAGCCCTATGGGTGTCCTTCCGACCTGGCACCCTAGGCCAGAGGGTCTCCGCTGGCACCATTGGCAGGTGGATCCGGAACTGCATAGGAGAGGCATACCGGGCTGCGTCTCTGCCGACTCCAAGTCATATTACCGCACATTCTACTCGGAGTGCAGCAACAACGGCTGCATGGGCCACTCAAGCGTCTATTGAGGAGGTTTGTAGGGCCGCTACATGGTCCTCGCCCTCGCCATTCATACGCCATTACAAAATTGACAGGTTCGCTGCGGCGGACGCCTCCTTCGGAAGGAGGGTTCTCCAGCAAGTGATTTCCGAAGAGAGAACTTGAGCCTTTCTGTTTTTTCCCACCCTATGGGACAGTGAGGCTTTGGTATGTCCCATTGGTGGAGTCTCCGTCTCCTGTACTGGAGAAGGGGCGTTGGTCTTACCTGAACGCCTTTTCTCAGTACGGAGACGGAGACTCCACACTCACCCTAGGGTCAGCTAGACCATTTGTGTTAGGGTGCTGAGAGCCAATGCCTCGTCAATCTTCAAACGCTTCGCCCTCGTTAAGACTGGATTACCAGTAGGAGGGGGTGTGACAAGTTTTGGATACTTGGTCTCAAGAGCAGGCAGACAAAGAAAACCCATTGGTGGAGTCTCCGTCTCCGTACTGAGAAAAGGCGTTCAGGTAAGACCAACGCCCCTTTCCTAAATGTTTATCAGATTTCAAAGAGAGAGTTAATAGCTTGTGATCGAAGTTTCCAGGATGTAAGAAGGAACTTTCACGCTGATTTCAAGAAGAAATCTTTATTTGGTTTTGGCATTTTTATCCTTTCATCTAGTTCATGTATAGATGTTTGGTATATACTCCCATGCTCTCCCAACTATATATTCCAGTTCAGTAATTACAGACAAATTTAAACTCTTTAGTTCTTAGTTTGTTGCATGTTTGTGTGTGTGTGTGTGGATGTGTTTGTGTAATGATTACTTGTGAAAGAGAATGTATTTTTTGAAAGCAGCAGATGAATTTTCTTTAGTCTTAAATTATAACTAGTGTTGCTTCTATGCATATTGACAGAATTTAAGATTAGGCCTATTGAAGTTTTGCATTACAGTATATCTCTTCTGTTGTTCTATAAAGCTTTCCCTGCTGTTTTTCAAGGATTAGACTTTCATTAAAAAGGCAGCATGGTAAAGAAGTATGTTGTTTTTCTAGTATAAGTATAGAAAAGAATTATAGGGCAACAAAGTAACAGAAGGTGTTGCAAATTGGCCTAATGCAGAATCTTACCAAATGATTTTTTTTTCAATTAAAAAAAAACCTTTCTTCTCTTCCCCCCCCTTCCATATTGAATCATGTGAACTATTTTTAATCCTCTGCCCTCCTCCTCCCAGGTTAATTTTACAAGTGGATTTTAGCTGGGTAACATCTATGTAACCCTGGTTTGAAGTGATGTTTCAGGCACCATGCTAGAAACTAGGAGATTGTGAGTTCTAGCCCTGTGGTGGGCACAAAGCCAGCTGGGGTGGCCTTTTACCACTTCACACACTCCCAGCCCTGGGAAAGAGGCAATGAATGGCAAATCTCTTCCAAAAAACTTTGCCAAAAAAAAATGCAGGGACTTGTCCAGGCAGTCACCAGGAATCAAAAACTGACTTGAAAAGCCCCCAGAACAAAGCAAAATAAAACTCTGGTTGACATTCCTAATGAGATAAAATACACTGCAATTGATTACCCATTTATGTCTTTGAACTGCTTTGCTGTGCTAAATCTAAACTTTTCTTGCTGTAACACTGAGGCAAAGAAAATTGGCAATAACTTTTACTTCTTCGGAGGAATGAGAGGACTGGATGATACAGAGAAGTTAGATATATTGACCAGATAATATGGCCAACAATAGAACATAAAATGTATCCTGTACTGCTGTTTTATTAGAGTTTGTCAGGGTATTATACAATCAAGTAATAAATTCAGTTTTGGTTGGAATGTATTCCATTTCATGCTGGATTTTTCTCAGTTTATCTAATTCATATTCTACATGTAACTTCTGTCCTTAGAGGTTCACTGTTTTACAGTAGTGTGTGTGTATTTCTGCATTTAGAAGAAAAACAAACCCCTCTGTTGCTAATATCTAACTGCTTGAATGAATCGATGTATAGTACTGTTGCAAGTAATGCTTTAATTTTAAAATAAATTTGTAATAAAGTACACATTATTCAAGCTTTGGATCTGGCAGATTTTGTATTGGCCAAAGAAAATGGGTGGTATTTTTTGGGGGGTGGATCCATAAGAAGGCCTGTCTTAATCAGCCATTTTATTTCTTACTGTAAATAACTTCTTTCATACTGTAAATAACCATATACATTTATAAAACCAGCAAATGAGCCATGTGAATTTAAGGTGTGGCCCATTGATTGGTTTTCAGGACAATGGTGCCTCAGAAACTTCAGGGAATTAATTTAGATATCAGTGTTAGTTACCCATCTTACAAAGATATGTTAAAATCATGACATGTTATAAATGGCATACTAGCTCTGCAAGATTCAGATTTCTGATTTTACAATTTGTGTGGGACAGCATATTATTGAAGACATTTCTATATGTTTATCAGCTCAACTATTTCAGTAAATGCTTGAGTCTTTAAACTTTATCTGTAAATAAATACTGAATTAAACTTGCAGTTGCAATATCCATTGAATTCATACTAGCAATGATATTTATGGCATAACTGTGCAAACAGGTTAGTCTACAGAGCTGGACAGCAACTGATGTAATTTCACAAACTTCATAAAAGGTTACTATGAAAGCAATCTAGGAACACACAAAAAAATTAAATAATCTGGCTGTATATTTTTGCCCTCATTTCTACCTCACCCAACCCATTTGTTTTTCAGCACCAGATCTTTGTTTTGCTGAGATAGAGTTCTTGTAAGCCATATGTCGCTATATATGCATTTAAGATAGGTTTAAAGATGGATGCAAAGTAATTAGTTTGTTCTGCTCTTTTAAACCCGGCTTCTAAAAATATCTTAATTCCTGAAAGAAAAAAAAAGACATTGAATGAATTTGAAAAGATTAGATTGGAATTGCCTGAAATTCTATTAAGCCACACTGCATGGACGTGCTGGGAATATCAATACAATTAATGTAAATTTGTACAAACTGATTTGTTGCATTATCTTGCTAATCTAACATATGGTACTTTTTGTGTCCATATTGCAGACGGCAACTCCAAACTAACATGGCAGTCAGACTGTGTGATGTGGCTTCTCTGCTTAGAAGTGGTTCGTGGGCAGCAGAGCCTTGGACTGGGGTCTGTGGGATTTTTCTTAAATTCTGTAGGCTATTATTAACATGTTACACTAGTGCTGAGGCCATACCAAACACTTTAAATTACATTTGAATTAATTTTGTACACTCTCTTCTAAGTTCTGACATAGATATTAGACTATATCCTGGCTTGGGGCAAGGTTCATGGCATACTTGAAACTTGTAAATAGAGATACAACTTTCTCTAATACTATCTTTCTTCATAACAACTTGAGTTTTGCTCCAGTACAATTTTCTAATAAAAAGAGCAGAGTTTGCATTAAAACTGCTTTGGTATGGTCTGAATGCTGAATAATCGTAACTGTGGAAATAACTTACATTGTGTATTTTTTTGGTTACTAAAGAAATTATAGAATTCCATTTAAGTCATAAATTTTCTTGGCTGGAAATAAAAGCAAAAATTCAAAGCTGCTGAAAAACCTGTTTTCCAACAGGTGAAAGCTTTATTTATGGATAGGATATATTTCTTTAAAACATAGAATATTGGTATGGTTTTATTTTGAGTAGCAGATGGTTCTGTAACTGAGACACCGTAATTTCAGATTATATAGGCTATTGCAGCTGTTCATTTGAATGTTGCTTTAGGATTTCATTCTTGCCATCTAAGCACAAAAATAAATATGAAGATATGTGAAGATGGTTAGTTATCCTTTAAGAAAAAAATCAGTTTAATAATGCTTAAAATAACTTTCTAGAAAGCTTCAGTCTGCAATATTGTGGCCCATATGTTCTGCATGATACAGTAGGAACATTTGAATAACAAACTGCTTAAAATATCCTTGGATAGTTTGTACACGAACAATTTAGTTCTGTTTTGAAATCAGAGGAAGAGGTTCATAAGTGAGCATATGTTAGAGGAACTGAAAGGAGTGTTCATTAGAAGACATTTGGACCTATTAAAACAAATATTGAAGACATGCCTCATTATCTCAGAATTGGTCGTTCTCCAGCATGAAGAATGGAGAATCCGCGAATGGGTTAAATGTGCTCTCCTGCCCAATTAGACTAAATCAGCCAAGTTACCACGTCCAGCAGGGCTGGGTCACGCCCCAGTTTCAATTTGGTCTCAGACCAAAAAGGACGTGTTAACTTGGCTCCCAGCAAAATTAAAAGCAGGCAGGTTGTAGATATTTATTCCATACAGGATATTTGTAGGGCGGTGACGTGGTCCTCGCCTTCTCCTTTTGTGCGGCATTACAAGCTCGATAAGTTTGCTTCTGCAGTGGCCTCTTTTGGCCGAAGGGTGTTACAGCAGGTAGTGCTGGTGGCAACGACACAGGCCCAGTCTGCTTCCCACCCATAGGGACTAGAGGGCTTTGGTAAGTCCCATTCATGGATTCTCCATTCTTCATGCTGGAGAAGGGGCGTTGGCTTACTGAATGCCTTTTCTCAGCATGATGAATGGAGAATCCACCCCCATCCCTTGTCCGCAGTCAGGTCCAGTGTCAGGGATCTGGGAGCCAACACATCGTATAGTCATTTGCTTCGCCCTTTTCAAAACTGGGGCGTGACCCAGCCCTGCTGGGCATGGCAACTTGGCTGATTTGGTCTAATTGGGCAGGAGAGCACATTTAACCCATTCGTGGATTCTCCATTCATCATGCTGAGAAAAGGCGTTCAGGTAAGACAACGTCCCTTCTCGGGTTGATAGCTCATAATCTCCTACCTTCCCTTTTTTCAAGGGCTATATTTATAATTTACAAGTATCATCATTCCATTTTTACTGAGATAATAATTTGGACTTTATTAAACTTCCTAAGATTGAAAATAATGGGTTATCAAAAGGCCAGCTGAGAAGCTGAGGCTGAATTCCTTCTTGAAGCAGTATTACGGGCACACTAAACTAGTTCTTGAGTTCTGTCCTTTCAGATTTGATTAAAATTTAAATTCCATTCTTATCTGGAAATAATAGCTAACAAGTATTCTACAGTAGCATTCCTAAAATAAAAAAGTTTTTCTATATTTAGAAAAGCTCTTGCTTCAAATGACAAAATCTTTTACTCCTCTGTCAATAACTTCAGTTTTCGATTAGCTTAGTTTAACTGAAGACATAGTTATACAGGTTTGGATTCACTGCTTGGGGGATACTGTGAGAAACAATAGAGGTCAAAAGTAGTTGATAATAATTGGTGATGAAGCAAGGAAGTGTTCATGTGGTTATTCCAGCATTTGGTACTTCTTAATCCTTGTCAATCACAAAGTTTGGAAGAGAAAACTTTTATTTTGCCAGCAATATAACTAATGTGGCCAATCCACTTTAATATTTGAAAAGTAACCAAAACAGTACATTTGTTTTTAATAATGTCTTTTATGAAGTCTACTGTTGATTGTCATTGTCAGTAAATCATTTGCAATAATTATTGAAAGCTTTATGAGAAATTCATTTGAACAACTTTGAAACTTTATCAGAATTTAATACTTAACCAGTTATTTCTTGGGGTTTACTGAATTAGCTTTAGCTCAGAAAAATGTTTCAATAAACCTTTGTAGCTTTAATTTTTCTAAATCGTCTTTATTGCTAGAGAATTACAACAGCTTTGTTTTTATTGTAGAACGATAATTGCAGTCTTGACAATTGGGCACTCTTGCATAATGTCAAAGCTTTAAATTCATAGCTAGAATCACTAATAGATGATGAAATATGAATTCTGACAGTTCCTATTTTCTCTGTTTTTAGCAGGTAATTGCTGCCATGGAAACACAACTGTCTAATGGGCCAACTTGCAATAACACAGCCAATGGCCCTACTACCATAAACAACAACTGCTCATCACCAGTTGATTCTGGGAACACGGAGGACAGCAAAACCAATTTAATAGTCAACTATCTCCCTCAGAATATGACACAAGAAGAGCTCAAAAGTCTGTTTGGGAGCATTGGTGAAATAGAATCCTGCAAACTTGTAAGGGACAAAATCACAGGTATGTAAACAACAGGCTTTTGCAATTGTACATAATATGTGTCCTCTGTTGAACATTTCTAATAGCATTACTTGTGAATGGCAAAACAATGTCACATTCCCTTGGAAAATGGATTAATATCTCTTGTGAGGTACAACATGAGAAATGAGCTTAAATCATATTCAAAAAATAGTTGTATGGGCTGACAGGGTCTTTTGCATAAAATTACTTAGTTGCGAAGACAACACACTATTTGTTTGCTTCTTAAAGGAATAGAAAATGAAGAAGTACAAAATTGCCTTACATGTTGATGATTGCTATATAGTTGAGGTGAATTGGTTAACAAGATGTTTCATTTATTAAATTTACATACCACCCATCTTTCTATCCAAAGTGACTCTGTGTAGCTTTAAATGTTAAGGTTGATCATTTTCCATCTTTGTCAGCGTTGTCAAATTAAATTTGCTACAAAAAAAGATCAATTGAACTTGTAATATAGAGAAATTTAGACCTAGACAAAATTTAGACATCCTCTTCCCCTGACCTCCCGCTCCCCAAATGATGGATAAATCCATTTTCTTTGAAGTTGATGAGATAGTTAAATTTATGTTAACCCATTCCATTTGTGTAATGAAATCATTATGCAGATTGATACACATTACATAATTTGTGTAATGATATCATTACAGAAATGTTGTTGCATTTGGGAGTAACAGATGCTCCCAGCTCCTTAGATATTGGAACACTGTTATCATGTCACCCCATAGCCCTTCTTTTCATTAAACTAGACATACCCAATTGCTGCATTTCATATGTTTTCACCTCCAATCCCCTAATCATCTTTGTTGCTCTTCTCTGTACTCTTTCTAGAGTCTCAACATCTTTTTTATATTGTGGCAACCAAAATTGGATGCACTATTCCAAATGTGGTCTTACCAAGGCCTTATAAAGTGGTACTAACACTTCATGTGATCTTGATTATATCCCGTGGTTAATGCAGTTTAGGATTGTGTTGGCTTTTTTGACAGCTGCAGCAGACTGCTGCCTCATATTTAAGTGATTGTCCACTAGGACTCAAAGCTCCTTCTGACAGTTACTACTATGAAGTCAGATATCACCTATTCTATACCTTTGCATCATCGTCATCATCATCATCATCATCATCATCATCATCATCATCATCATCATCATCATCATCATTATTATTATTATTATTATTATTATTATTATCCTAAATGTGTAGAACCTTACTTTTTCCCCCATTGAATTTTATTTTGTTAGATAGGGCCCAGTGTTCACATTGTCAAGATCCTTCTGTACCTTGAGTCTATCTGAGAGACTCAATCCTGAGAGACACGTCCCATGCCTTTGGCATTGTGCCATTAGCTTCTGATAATAGTATCTATAACGTGACTGTTTCCTTTTGCTGTAATAGCTAAGCTGGAAAAATGGGAGGAAAAGCAATCTAGTTAAAAGCTGCAAATCAATACTGTAATACTCACTAATATACCGTAAGGGACATCACTGAAAGTAGCCAAGTTTTGTTTGCACATTTTGATTTGAACTCTGAATGGTCAATACTTCATCATTGGAAAGACTGAAATATTTTGGTACCCCTACTGCAATATCTGTGTTGCTATCCTTCCTTCCTTCCTTCCTTCCTTCCTTCCTTCCTTCCTTCCTTCCTTCCTTCCTTCCTTCCTTCCTTCCTTCCTTCCTTCCTTCCTTCCTTCCTTCCTTCCTCTTTTAACTTTATTCTGGACACCAGCATAGGTTTTTCATGTGATTTCACATTGTGAAATCCATGGATTATTAAACTTCCAGATCCTATATCTTTTTCTATCAAATTCCCTATGTGGTTTCCAGTTGGCCATAGTTTACCATTATTGTACTGTTCATCTGGGTCATTTTCTCAAATTTTGAATGTAGTGTTTTAGAGTAACAAGGGAGTAGATGTCTCTCTTGACTTAGTTTCAATATACTGAATTTGCAGAATTTTCTTGGCATCTTCTAGGACTGCATTTCATTTTGTCCAGTATTTATTCTCACACATTTCCACATTGGAATCTTGGCGAGACAATACTTTGATATATTTTTTTGGCAAATTTCCTGAAATTTCAGCTTCAAGAGTCAATCTAGGAATCTGATAGGTTGCAAAAATCTAATACTTCATAAGACATACACTTATAACTGAAAACTGGCTTGAATAAACTGGTGGCTTTTCTAATTAAGTGATGCTTTAAAAGCATCATTTTGTTTAATATATTTTAAGTCTAGAAATAATGCAAGTCTATTTGCCCCATTCCATTTCATTCTGGCCTAAGTCCCTTGCTTTAATACGATGATATGGGTTTCTCTCTTTAATAATTAAAGTTTTTAATATAATGATGTCAACCTTGTACTACCCACTCAAAAGAGGAAGTCAAGCAATATGTAATATAGAGCAGACAACCCCCAGAGTAATTGAATTTTGTTTCTACATATCTGGCTTTTTTCTTTATACCTTCCAGTTGAAGGTGACAAATAAACATGAGAGTTTTAGTATGATATAGATTTACCTATAAAGCTTTAAATGTTTAAAAGCACTTTAAACATTTAACCTTCCACATTCCTGTGGATTCATTCGTAACTAAGACATAATGTTGAAGGCATTCTGTGAAGACATAAATGTTTAAAATGTGCCCCAAATAAGATGCTGTTCTTATTCAAATATCAGAGCAAATGAAAAAGTATTTCAGATACACTGCTATCATACACAGGGCCCAGTGTAAGGTAACAAAAAGCAAGTTAGAGTAAGATGATCAGATATTGGTTGCACATTTTATGTGGAATGTACAGTTGTTAAAGTGAGTTGTACCTCAATTTTATGACACTTCTTGCCACAGTTAAGTGAATCGCTGCAGTTAAGTTACTAAGATGGTGGTTAAGTGAATCTGGCTTCCCCATTGACTTGGCTTGTCAGAGGGTTGCAAAAAGTGATCACATGACCCTGGGACACTACATCCCGTTCAAACCAGTTCCCAAATGCCTGAGTTTTGATCATGTGACCACAGGGATGCTACAACAGTCGCAAGTGTGAAAAACAGTCACCCGTAACTTTGAACGAGGTGTATTGATACCTTATTTGCCTGACCTTTTGTCTTGTCCCGTGGTTTTCACTGAGGAAATTCCCATTTATTTTTCTAGCTAGCCGTGTATACTGCCATGCATTACACCTAAAGATGGAATGAGAACCTAATAAAGACTGGTTGATCTGGCCACCTATTGGTTAGAACAAACTTCTTTCTCTGTTAACTTTATTTTTCATTTCAATGTTTATTTTATTTTTGCCTGGCTAAGCTACAGGTTAAATCTGCACAATCTTGGATGGAAATCACCTGTATATATGAGAGGCAGGCAATCCATGGTGAGGTATAAAAAGTGTCATTCCAGAGATACAATAATAATAATAATAATAATAATAATAATAATAATAATAATAATAATAATAATAATAATAATAATAATAGTAAAGTTGGAAGGGACCTTGAAGGTCATCTAGTCCAACCCCCTGCTCAGGCAGGAAACCCTATACCATTTCGGACAAATGGCTGTCCAGTCTCTTCTTAAAAACGTCCAGTGTTGGAGCATTCACCGC